GGTCTGATTGGTTGACCAAAGGTCATCTGACTGGTGTCTATTCTTTACTGTTGCTCCGGCTTAGAGAGGTTAAGGAGTGCGTCGGCTGGAGATCAAACCCCGGATCACGTGAGTGTTTGAAGAGTATTCTACCTCTGAACCGCCGATCACTGAGTCATAGTGCATTAAAATAAAGATTACTATATATGAACTTCCAGAAAACAGATCATTATGGAAACGAAACCAGCTGTGTTTAACAAATTACCTCTCACCGCCTATCCTTTTACATTTTCAACTAGAAGTTCTAGAGAAATACATTTCCAAAAGAAATGTCATCCGTGACAGTAATCAAACCTTCATTTTAACACAAATGAACACTGTATTCATTTTGCCTTAACTAAAAAAAAAACTTTCAAAAAATGACAATACCAATCCACATAAATCATTGGACATTTAAGCATTAAACACAAACAAATTTGAAGGTATGACCTTATCAAAGGTATTAATTAAATGAAAGCTAGAAAAGGTTAAAAGTGTTTTCATATAAAACGGAACATACACATTTGATCATAGGGAATAATAAAAAAAGATGGTTGCAGTGAAGAAAATTTTCTTATGCGTAAAATTTATTTTGATAAAGTCTCACAGTGTTATACAGTAATATGTACTGATGACCATGTTTCGAGCACAATTTATAATGGCTCATCGTCATCATATCAAGGTACTCACACAACTTTCTAACTTCGTTTATATAATTCCATTATTTTCCATCGCTTGATTTGATTGGTAGTAGTATTTTCCTTATCTCTGGTATGAGTGATGAGTCATTCCTATTGCACGTGTTGGGTGTAGACTCGATGAACAAGGATTCAGCAATTAATCTCCCTCTCTCTCCACCTACACAGATTACTTCTTAGAATCGTAATCCTTTCCTACTCTATTGTGTGGTTGTTTGTTAATGCATGTAGTGCAATTGTTGATCTTTTTCAAAATTATTCATCTTCTCAGGGTCAACCATTCTTACCTTAGCCAAATTCTTATGTTCCGCCAATCTGATTACCCCCGATCTACTAGTTTGACCTTTAAAGTTGACCCCACAGTCATTGCAGGGTATTTTGTAAATTATATTATTTTGTTTAATTGGGTCCGTTGGGTCTCTCAGCCTACAGAGCTTGTCGTACCTGAGTGAGTTTGTAGGTTTGAATGCCACCCTAATTCCTGCTTTATAAAGAGTCCTACGTAGGGACTCAGATGTCCCCTCCTTATATGGTATAACAGTAGGTGACTTGTAGTCTTCCCTATTCGTGTTATCATTATAAGTTTCGCCATTACTTTCATTTTGCTTTTGGTCTTTTTCAGTCTTCCTAATGAATTTTGTAGGATAGTTGTTTAACACCAACTCTTCTTCTATCTGTTCTATTTCATCATTTAGGTCTTTTTTGTGTTACTTAGTGCTACTGTTCGGTTTGTTAGATACTTATCTAAGCCTGCATTTACAGACAACGGATGGGATAGATTTAAGAATATACTTGAGAGGGTTACCACTGATTTCATTCCCTGGAGGGTTCCTAAAAGACCAACAAGTCGGCTACCATGGATAAATAGACAAGCTATAACACTCCTAAGACGGAGAAAAAGGTTCTGGAATCTCTTTGTTTCTACTGGGCTACAGCAGTTCCGGCTGAAGTACTGTGAATCCAGAAACCAGTGTAAAACTTTGATTCACCAGTCAAGGATAGCTTACGAAACCCAGTTAGTCAAAAGTTCACTAGGCTTCCCAAAAAGACTCTTCTCATATATCAAGAGAAGAACACGTAAGAGTGATGCTATCCCACCTCTTATGCTTGAAGATGACCAGACAAACATGGCTGAGGATAACTTGACTAAGGCTGAGGCTTTGTCCAAGCACTTTAGTCAAGTGTTCTCTGATAATATTGATGCCAGCTTTGTAACTTTCCCAGAAGGTAACTTGAAAATGGCACCCTTATACATTGGAAAGGATACTGTCCTAAAGTGGCTTCTAAGGCTCAATCCTTGTAAGTCCAGTGGCCCTGATGAACTCCACCCACGTATATTAACAGCATTGGCTGAAAACATAGCCGAGCAATTGTCGGTAATCTTCAATATGTCTGTGGACCAGTCTAAATGTCCAAGAGAATGGAAAGATGCCATCATTAGTCCGGTCTTCAAAACCGGATCTAGAAACTTAGTTCAGAACTATCGTCCTGGTAGTTTGACCAGTATTGTTGTTAAACTACTAGAAAGAATAATTCGTGATGCTATCATTCAGTTCATTGAAGGGAACAAACTTTTCGCTGTGGAACAGCATGGTTTTAGAGCAGGTCATTCTTGCTTGACCAACCTTCTTTTGGCCAGAGAAAGTTGGGCAAGCTCAGCTGATGCTAATATACCGGTGGATGCCATATTCATCGACCTTAGCAAGGCGTTTGACAGGGTTTCTCATTCAGGTCTTCTAGTAAAGTTAGGTAGTATGGGAATCAATAAAGTGGTTGCCGACTGGATTCAAGACTTTCTAAAGGACAGAAGACAAAAAGTACGAGTTAACGGGGTTTTATCAACATGGGAATCGGTTAAGAGTGGCGTTCCTCAGGGTACAATTCTAGGTCCACTTCTTTTCCTGATTTATGTCAATGAGATTCCATCGGTAGTTAGGTCATCCTGCTTACTGTTTGCTGATGACATCAAGATATGGAGGGCTTTACATAATGACAGTGATCAACTTGCTTTGCAGGAAGATTTAAACTTGTTAAGGGATTGGTGTAAGCACTGGGCCTTGGAGATTAACTTAAGCAAGAGTGTATTTATGCATGTATCTCATAGTCACGTGCATAATTACTCAATGAATGGCATTACTCTCCCAGTGGTCACTGAGTACAACGACTTGGGAGTGGTTGTGCAGCATGACTTGAAAACAGCAACAAACTGTAGATCTGCAGCCACTAAGGGTTTTCGAATATTATGGGCCATACGCAAAGCCTTTGCGAATTTCGACGCTGAAATATTTCGTATATTATATCCGACTTATATCAGACCTCATTTGGAATATGGGATCCAGGCAGCGAGCCCGTGTTTCAAATACGAAATAGACTTATTAGAAAGGGTGCAAAGAGTAGGAACTAAGCTAATAAAAGGTTTCTCAACCCTCTCATATGAGGAGAGGTTAAGTCGACTCGGTTTATTTCCACTGTCATACAGACGACTTAGGGGTGACCTAATACTAGCATACCGTATCCTAAGAAATGATTTTGGAGCTGATTTATCTAATTTATTTGTTCCTTCTAGCACCAACCAATTGCGAGGACATCACCTCAAGGTTCAAAAACCGCGGTCGAATCGTCTGCGTCTGGAGATCCGTTTTTCGCATCGGATTGTGAACCACTGGAACTCCCTACCGGACCACGTCGTATCAGCGCCATCCGTTGATTCATTCAAGGCGAGTTTGGACCTCCTGTGTGTAACAAATCGAAAGGATTAACACAGGCATATAGCCTACTATCCTAAATAAATTGTAAACTGTAAACTGGATGAGATGAATTAAAGTCTAATTATCTATTAGCAGAATGCGTTGGCTTTTTATAAACGCTAGTGTATAGTTTACCTTCTGTGCATTAACACACAACCTACGGTAGGGCGGGTGGTAGAGGGTTACGATTCTAAGAAGTAATCTGTGTAGGTGGAGAGAGAGGGAGATTAATTGCTGAATCCTTGTTCATCGAGTCTACACCCAACACGTGCAATAGGAATGACTCATCACTCATACCGGAAATATGGAAAATACTACTAATTATATAAATGAGGTTAGAAAGTTGTGTGAGTACCTTGATATGATTATGAGTGGCAATAAATTGTTCTCGAAACGTAGTCATCAGTACATATTACTATAAAACACTGTGAAACTTTATCAAAATAAATTTTAACCATAACGGAATTATACTCTACCACAGTGCACAAGTTTTATTGCAACATGAAAGAAAATGTTCTTTTCGATGAAGTCATCAACTAGGCTGTACATTCGTACATTTATAGTAGATGGGTCAAGGGGCAAATTATAAAATATCACAAAGTCTAATGAACACGTTGATCGGATGCAGAATATAGTAAGATAGATAGGTTGTAGTATTATCCTAGAAATACTTCAGGTCAAGGGTCAAATTAATAAAATTACAATTAGGAATTAGAATGCCATAATAAACAGGAGGTGGGCGGATAAAATGTAAACAAAGTAGCATCATAATTGCTGAGAAGACTGACATATTGTGCAATTAGGGGTTAGAAATGTAGAAATAACAACAATAGACGGGATGGTTGGGCGAAAAGTTTAGTGGGATCATAACTAATGTGACGAAAAATTGTTTATGCAGTTAGGGATTTAATATGTAGAAATAATAAAATAACAAAATAGGCAGGAAGTTCAGATATGAAAATATGGCAGTGTAAATAAGGATTAAGGAAAACTTAAAAATAACGTGAATAAACAGGAATTTTGGATAACAAAGGTAATGACATAGTTACTACTAAAAGAATCACCTGTTAATGATGGCCATGACAGGGACAAAGGTTGAACGTATTTCTTTTGAATAGATAGAGTGGGTTTGAGTTTTTGGATGGTCAGTGCCTCGGCTATGCTCAGATGTCTTAATTTTACTATCTTTGATAGGTTTGATCGAATCTTGTGTAGGATTCTATCCAACCCTTGTCCTTGCCATGGCCATCATACAAAGGTAATTTTTTTAATTATGGTTTTATTATGGCCTATTTAATTGGTAATTGTAATTTTATTAATTTGACTTTTGACCGGAAATAGTCCTGGAACTTTCTCACCCGTCTACTATAAATACACGAAAGCGCAGCCTAGTTGATAACTTCATCTAAAAGAAAATGTTCTTAGCTGCAACCGTTTTTTTAATTTCATATCGTAAACACGCCAAAATGGAAATCACAATTAAAATAATAATAATGATAAAATATGTAGGAAATTATACATACTGAGTACAACTCACATTCTACTGAACTTTCTTTCCAATCTCGGTGATCTAATATCACCACGTGGTGACAACATGTGGCTAATATGATCACTAGTGTCAACATTTGATTTCTCTTTGCCTGACAAGAACCTTCTTTCTGGACTGATAAATGAAATTGTGCGTCGAAAAGACTTTTTAATCGATCTTCGAAATAGTCTCATGTTATTGTTATCATTATTGTGACCATTATTATTATTATCATTATCATTATTATTATTATTACTATTATCATTACCACCAGTGATTGTTAAATTTGTCCTTCCACGATCACAGTTAAAAGATTCAAAGCATGTTTCACGGCGATTTCTTTGATCATCGACAGTGTTATTCTCTTTCTCACCAAGAGAATAACACACTTTATGTGGATTATGTGTACTCGTATAGGTGTGAGATTTAGCTCTTCTAACTTTACAACTTCCATGATTATTGAAAATATATCCCGTGGCTGAATTCGCTACAAAACAGCTATCGTGTTGCATAGTTGATGAGTGTTGTTGTTCACCGTAGAAATGACTATTGCTGCTCTGCTGCTGCTGCTGCTGATTGTCTTCTTGAGAACTGTGGATTTGTGAATTGGAATTGTATGTGATACACTGAAAATAAAAAAACAAACCAAAAATGAAAAAAGATTTGAAAATGCAGCCCACCTGATAAGGTAATTCCGTATTAGTTTGTTTATTAGATATATCACACAATGAAACAGTGTTATTTACTGGAATTAGAAACAAGCTTTGTGGATTAAAGGATCCTGCAGGTGGAGACAATAAAACGAAACAATTTAGTTTATCTAATACCTTGCCTGCAATGATTGTCAGGTCAAATACATAGGTCAAAGTAGTGGAACAGGAGCAGTCAGTCAGACTGGCCGAGCATAAAAATCTAGCAGCGAAATCTAGATTAGTTGACCCGAATCAGATAAGGAATGTAGAGAAAAGTTCAACCGCAGATAACACTCACTACATGCTATTACACGCAACCATACAATAAGATGGATTGGATAAGACAACCATTTTAAAATCTAACATAATAGGATGGAGAGAGAAATTGATAACAGAAGCTTTGTTTATCTAATCCATTGCAAATATGTGTAATCGGAATGGTTCAACACCTGTCCAGGAAGACATCTGAAAAATTCTACTACCACGCCCACGACGACAAATAAGAAGGAACAAAAAAATCTATAAGACTCAGGTTTCGAAGTCGTGTGATTATAACTGATATGATTATGAACAATAAATTTTGTTCGAAACCTCGTCATCCAGTAAATAATACTGTTTCAGTGTGTGTGATATATCTAATAAACAAACTAATATGGAATTACTTACTGCCACAGGGCCCAAGTTTTACACATATATTAACACCTGATAAGGTATTTAACATAATAAATAATGAGATCAGTAAATGACATCAAGATACTGAATGACCAACGTCCTATCCTAAGTTAAGGCCAAAAGTGAATATATTATTACTATAAGTAGTGGTGACAGTGGGCGATAGAACCAAGGACATACTATGAACCCGTCCTCCTGTATTTAATGCAATTTGTCTTTACCGTCTGAAGCTATGAAAATAACGAGTCTCGGTAACAAACAGAAATTCTGAAGTTTTTGGTGGATTGTGACTGGCAGTAGAATCCAGAATGCTAATTTCGTTCTACTACTTGGGACTGCTCAGGGGGTCTCGTGGATAACACTTCGGCGTTTGAAACGATGGGTACTGGATTCAAGTCTCAGTAAGGACAGCATCACTGATTAGGAAATGTTAATCCAGCTGATGAATCCCGGCTACAACGAAATGCGCATCCTGGATCCCACTGCTAGTCATTATCCATCAAATAACTTCAAGCTAACCCTTAGAAACCACAGGAACGTCCGTACTAATTAGTTCAGTCAATTAATGGGAAAATCAGACATTTACTACGAAACAGATAAAAACGGAAGTCTGTTTAGACAGATGTCGTTACCACTTCCAATCGGCTTTGCTTTGAAGTTAAAAGAGTTATGCGTGCAACTAAACATTGCGAATGGAACAACAAATTTTAAACCAGTGCAGTAACAATAATTTAATGAGTTGCGCATATGATACAATATACCTCGTAGGTTCCAGTAATGAGGACCATTCAAAGTACTTAGATTGTCTATGGAAAAAAATTGCATAATCACACTTCCGGTAAGAGAAAAATTATTATTAACCGAGTTATACTAAGTAATTTGATGCTACACTAAATGACATATCTGATGTTTGCTAAAGCAAGATGAAATTAATATCTTCAAGCATCGGTTTTTGTAGGGATTTAGTTTGATGGGATGGGGGATTTCATCATGAGCTGACATCAGTTAGAGAACCATCGAAAAACCTGGGAGTACTGGAAAACTGTTGCGTCCTAGTTTGGGACTCTTCGTCAGTAAGCACCCACCGGGGTTCGAATCCAGGATTTTCTGGGTACAAGACGAGCCAGCTCGTAGACCATTGAGCCACTGAGACCCTAGAACTCATGGCCTGGTCATTGGATCCAGTCCTAGTGGCTTAATGGTCTACGACCTCGCTTTGCAACCTGAAGGTCCTAGCGGGCGGGTGCATACTGATGAAGAGTCGCAAACAAGGACAAAGCAGCTTTCCAGTACTCACAAGTTTTCCAATGGTTCTCTAACTGATGTCAGCTCATGATGAAATCCTCCATCCGAAATTAATGTAGTTAATAAAGCAGATTATGTGAACTACAAATATCACTTAAGTGAATTGAACGGATGTCTCTTTCATCTTTTTACTCAAGAATGAATACTAATAATCAAAATGTACGATATACATTCACCCATATCAGTTAATGCTGACAGTTACGGATGTCAACTATTCTGGATAAATGTAAACATATTAATGAACAGGAACACTAAGAATGCACTAGAGAATTCTAAGTAGCCTGGTACTTCAGATCCCTTTGCACTTCACAGATATGTGGATATTGGTTAAATTTGTCAATAAATGAAAATGTTATGCGACAGAAAGGTTAAGTATCATGTTAAATGTTAGTGAACGAAATATTCGAATAGTGAATCATAAGAAAAAGGCGTAAACTGAGAAGAAAACTTTCTTTCCGACGATTTATTTTCAAAAGCTGGACAATCCTAATTACATTTAACAGAGAATTCATCGGACCAATCAGATACTGGTTAAATTTGTCCCCGCAAAACGTATGAGGTGTAATCTAGAAGGGGTGACTAACTGGAAATGAGAAAAGGAGAGGTTGGGGTGACGTAATATCAATAACTAGCAGCCCTATCATCGAACACTTTGTTAACCCTGGAATTCGAGCACCCCTACTTGAATACTTCACAAGGCTACATAGAGTCCCTCAATATCGTAGAAAAGGACTTCGAATACGCCATCTGTACATAGCTTAATCATTAGCTACGCGGGATCTGAAACCGGACCTCTGCATTCAAAAGCGCTACATACATTTCCTCGCCCTACCATGGCCAGAGTAACGTTCTCACTATATTTTTGCTTCCTCTTTTATGCAAGTTTACTATTATTATTATTCTCATCATCCTTATTTTATTGTCCCTCTACTACTGTTTATTGATAGCATTGTGTTTTGATACAGATCTTATAAAAATACCTTATCGTCTTTCCATTAGTTCTTTTCCATTATACACAACAATCTAGGTTAGTCATTTTCTCTCACTTATTACATCATGGCAACTTTTTCCTCTAATTCCCCATTAGTCATCCCTTTCTAGATTACACCTTACATTACGTAATATGTTTTTCGGGGATCAATTTTACCAATGTCCGATTGATCTTATGAATTCTTTATTCAATATAAATAGTTTTCAAGAGTTGGTTTATAAGGAATAAAATTAGTTTTTACGAGTTTGACCACGGATTGATATCAGTCAGGGGACCACCTGAAATTCCTGAGTACTGGACAGCTGTTTCTTCCTGGTTTGGGAATCATCGGCAGTACGCTACCACTGAGCTTCGAACACAGGACCTTCCGGTCACAGAAAAGTCGTATACCATTCGCCTGTGTCCCTGTTTAATCTTTAATTGTAATACTTCTATCTATGGTTGTGTGTACACTGACAATGAGAATTCGTGACCAGTGAGGTCCATCCAGATGTCACGTGTGAGGATGGATGTCCCACCGATGACATTGGTTGGAGGTGGCGCTAAAGCACGAGTTGGTAGAAGTTAGAATAGTATACTAGCTAGCTTGCCTTGTAACCAGAAGGTCCCGTTTTCGAACCCCAACGGGGGCGTACCGCCGATAATTCCCAAACTCGGATGAAACAGCTGTTTAGTACTATGGTGCTGGCTTTCAATGGTTCTCTAACTGATATCAATCCGTGGTCAAACTCGTAAAAAAATTATGATTAGTATTGTCCAGCTTATGAAAATGAATCGTCGAAAAGAAAATTTTCTTCGCTGTTTACGTTTTTTTCTTCACTGTTAGTACCAATAAAATTGGACTCAACGGTAATAAAACTTTTGAAGAAAACCAGTAATATTCAGAATTTTAATGAAAAGACGGTTATTTCATTCGTGAATGATTGATTGTAACCCCCCCCTCCGTATGAAATTAACATTGAAGATGTCATCGAACAAAGACAACGAAAATTCTGCGGTTAAAGAGTTCAACCTGGAGAACATAGAAATATTAAAAATCGGTAAACTCTGCACACCATGAAAACTGTTTAAGTAGTTCTTCGACTGAAATGCATTCGGCGCACATCGCTTGATGACTCAGTGCTACATACTGTAAAATCACGTATAGGATGAAGTGTCACTGGACTAAAGTAGTAAGAAACAGTTACATTTTTAAAAACAACCGCTCGTTTCGACTTATATAGTACTCCTATGTTGTTAGCCGGCAAAAGATGTAAATAAAAATTCACTATAATGAGAGTTTGAAATTATTTTCGATATTCTTTGATATGGCTTTATCGACTTTGATGAATCTCCGTAAATGAGTGATACTTAATCTTCTAGTATGAAGCCTTTTGTATATTGTAAATACAGACAGAACAAATATTCTACTGTCTGACATTTATTCTTCTTAGTCTTTCTGCATGGTACCTCCTCCAGTATCCTTGCCATATTCAAAACACTAGTCTTTTCTGGCACTCATTCGTAACGTCTCTACTTCCTGCTCCAAATCTTTACTTTTCTGCTCCCACATGTTTGATTTCGGTGGTTCTGCTACGACTGCCATTGTGCTCAACAGCTGTCTGATCACCAATGTCCATGAGTTGTGCAGCGTCAACCAGTTATAGTTGCTTGGGTGTCAGTAACTGTGACTCTAACTCTCCCTCTTCACTGCAAATACTAATAGCTCTCCGTCAAATCCCAGCTTTGGAACATGGAACTGCTGTTTCGCCAGCTTCATATTCACTGATCTGTAGAACTCCACCAGCAACCGTTCAACAAATACCTTCCAGGTCTCTTTATCAGCTGACCACTGCACTCTGTAGTACGCCGCCTTAGCACGATTTTTCAGCAGCGACCCCATCACAACCACATTCGCTGTCGGATATTGGATGCCTTCTAATCCAGAGACAACATCGAAGTCCTGCAAGAATTTCATTATGTCTCC